TAAAAAAAAAAGATTAAAATTTTTTTTTTTTTTCCAAAATAAAATTCCTTCATATCTAAATAGTTCCTGCCCAAATCATTATGTATGAACTGTAGTCCCTGCAAATGGCTTGTTTATTATGACATCAGCGATGAAATTTTGTGAAAGGCTACGTATGTACAGATATCGTATATTATAAACTATACATATGTAATATGTGTGAATATTTACAGTCTTTGGCGGAAATGGTAGACAATCACCCACTATTCAACCATGCTTATTATATTTTGCTGCAACAACTTGCCCACAGCTTTTCAGATATTTAAAGTACACGCTAAAATAATTAATTTTTGACGCTACTTTATCAACCAAACACTTTTAAACTAAAATTTACTTTTTTTGGTTGTTTCCAAAAATAAAAGTATTTTTAAAAATCTTATTAATGAAATTTTGCAAAGTTTATTATATAAAATAAACTTAATTAGTTATATATCAATAAATTATAGGTTAAAATTATATATTGTATAAATTGTAACCCTCGGAATTAGCAAAATTGAGGTAAATTATTGCCGACCTCAAACCTTTAGAGGTCAGCATCAGGTCTGCAAATACAAAGGTCTTACTATAAAACATCGAAACAAGGTCGGCAAAACCGAATTTTTTTTGCCGACTGCAAACACGTTTAGGTCGGCATTGCCGAATGCTGACCCTAATCCCAAGGGTTGAAATTGTATAAAGTTTCTTTGTAAATGTATATCAATTATTTTTTAATTAAAAAAAAAATGTTTTTTTTATGATAAATGTAGGTCTTATAATTATATAAACTCTTTGATGAAGTCTAAACGATGAAAGTCATTATTTGTACGCGCGTATAAATAAATTGCTCATATTAAAAACATTACTTGTACGACAAAAACTTTTAAATATTTTAATTTTTCCTTATAAATAACTGGGGTAGTGCTGTGGTTGTTCAAATGCCCTAATTTTGAGATGCAGCTGTCCAAGTAGCAAGTTCAAATCATCTGTTGGTAACTATTTTTTTAAATTTTTTCAAAGTAGTTTTAAGTTTGGGCAAGCATTTTTTTATATAAAAGAAAATTATTTTGATATTTGTTTAAATAGGGTTTATAAATTCATTTAATTTATATCAAAAAAATATTAAATTATATTACACATGATATTTAGGTGATATAAAATAATTAATAATAACTTATGTTTAAATATGCTTGTGCAAATAGAAAAAAAAATAGTTGTACATACATACAAATAATGCCTACTGTAAAAGAAACCATATATAAATAAGCAATTAAGTTAAAGAAGTTTTAAATAGTTTAAGTCAAATGTTTTAGTTGTTTAAAAACTACTAGAAAATGTTGTTTAGTGAAATGTTTTAGTAAAATGAAAAGTTTTAGTAAAGTAAATTAGTTTTTTTTACTTTAAAGGAAAAGTTTATATAATATATATTTTGTTAAAATGTGAACTTTTTAATGCTAACTTTTTAATTTAAAAATCTTGATAAAGATTTATACTAACATTTCTTAAAAATACGTTGCGCTAATAAAATTTAAATACCAAAAGAAACCATATATAAATAAGCAATTAAGTTAAAGAAGTTTTAAATAGTTTAAGTCAAATGTTTTAGTTGTTTAAAAACTACTAGAAAATGTTGTTTAGTGAAATGTTTTAGTAAAATGAAAAGTTTTAGTAAAGTAAATTAGTTTTTTTTACTTTAAAGGAAAAGAAAAATATTGCTTTATTTTTAATTGTATTTTGAACATTTTTGGGTATTTAGTAAAGTATTTATGTAAATAAATACTTTACTAAATATATATTTATTAAAGTATTTATGTAAATAAATACTTTAATAAATATTTCTATAGTATTTATGTAAATAAATACTTTTGGGTAAAAAATTTTGGGTATTTAGTAAAGTATTTATGTAAATAAATACTTTACTAAATGAACTCCAGATTTTTTGATAAAGCACTTCAATGGCTTTTAAAAAAAAAAAAATATGTGATGATATCAAATACTGAAGCTGTTATGAATTAAAAATGAATTTAAAGCTGTTATGAATTAAAAATGAAGATGAAGTTGATGGCTATTTTTAGTCTTCAATCTTAATTATAAAAATAATCTCAATTAAAAAAAAAAAAGAAAAACGTTTTTTCTTAAGAAAAAAGGATGTTTTTTTTTTTTTAAAAGAAAATATTATTTCCTTTTTTCTTAAAAATTATTCTGTTTTCAATATAATCGTTAAAATATCTTTGTATTTTTTACAAAAATTTCATACCTAAAAATTTAAATTAAAAAAATGTTTAAATTCTTTAGGTTGGAGCCCACAAAGTGAAAATGAGTCGTGGTTACGAGGCTTCTTCTCCAGCCTTTGAAAGGTGAGTTTTGATTGTAAATAACTTAATGGAAAAATTTTATTTGCAAATAGAAACTTTGGAATTTAGATAATAATACTATAGGCATAGATTTAACTCTTTTTTTTTTGTGAGTTAATTGTATCTATAAAATTAAAGAAAACAGTTCTGAAGCAGAAATATTTTTATTATGTTGAATTATATTGAATTGATAAGATTTACAAGGCTAGGTTATTCCAGCCTTATTCAAGTTATGTTTGGCACCATATTAGTATGCTTGGCACCATCTTAGATTTTAGTATACAAACTTAAATAAATGTAAAAAACTTTTCTCCAAACTTTTGTGTCCGACTTTTTATTTGTTCAAAGATATCAATACTCAGTCCCTTTTATAACTGTTTCTTTTATGACTTTTCTTTTTTATGACTGTTTTTTCAGTGCCATTGGTTTTTTAAATACATTGCGTCACACAATTAGCTTTAACTTATGTAATATTCAATGGTAATGAAAACTTGTACCTTCCTATTTTTTAGGCTGAAGAACTCAAAAATAATGGTTAAAACACCATAAAAGCTTCTATATGAAAATTTTATTTCAAATTAGTCCAACCTTTTTCATAAGTTTTTATAACCTGTTTTATTTTCTGCTGCTTTGTTTAAAAAGAACTATATTTTGAGTTGCCTAAAAATATAATTCTGAATTTTTTTCCTATGACTCTATATATATGTAACAAACTTTATAAAAAAAAACTGCAAGGGTTTTCTTTTTGAATCTGATTTATTTGCATTGAAAGTTTTAGGAAAACAAACCTCAAAAATAACAAAAGCTGTTATTAGAGAATGGATAAGAAATTGTTTTTTTTTTTCTGCTTTTTTTAATTTCCTGCATGTTTTATAATAATAAGACAAAAAAAAAAAAAAAAAGTTACAAAAATAAACCATGAACATTAAAAAATATTTAAAAATACTAAAATTAAAATGTAATAAAAATCTTAAACAGGTTTTATAAAAATTTAGATCTCTGGTTTGAAGGTTGCCAAGTTGTCTTCAATGCTTTGGTGCTTAATCTCACTGATTTTGTATTGTCTTCCTATGACAGTCGTTGGAATATATATCATTAACAAAAGGTTTGTTGATGAAACCATCAACATATGTGAACACATGGTCTCTTGAAGGCTATTTATATGACCTTAAAGTGTAACTTGAATATGTTACTTATTTTCATGTGTACATATTTTCATGTTTCAAGTGTAACTTGAATATCTTACTTATTTTCATCATCAGTGTCCCAACTAGTCCAATCCAGGAATTGTTATTATATCAAATATAAATAACATTTCCAGGGTTATATTCTTAACAAGGATGTTTAATTATTTAATCAGTTTGAAAGTTAAAAACAAATGATTACCCTAATTGTTCAGAACATTCGCTCTAATTTTTGTGGTACTTAACTTTTACCACAAAAGTTATTTGTAATTGTGATTGCCACAATTGTTTTTGCACTTGTGTATCTCTGCTCCATTACACTTCAGATTATCGTATTTGTTTTTGTTCATTTGCAATTTTACATTTTAGTTCTAAAAAATAAAGAGGAACTTAAATTATTATTTGAAAGTTTGTAAATTGACAATCATTAGCTATTAAACAAACTTTTTATAAAATAAAGAAAGATAATTTTTGAAGTGAAATACAAGTTTTAATAAATAAAAATTCAATATTAGGCGATCAAGTTGAGGGTTAACACATAAAATTGTCAGTCAACTATTTTTATTGGCTGGTCAATTAAATAAAAAAATTTTCAGGATTTTAATTTTTGTTTCATAACTTTTACTGAACTTTGTAAATATAAGAATTTTTAATACTTTTTTTTTAACAAAAACTCAAAACAAAGTTATGCAATAAATAACTAATGCTCACGTGTCTGGATTAAAAATAAAGTTTTAAAGGAAGTTTGATCACATCAAAGGAGTTTTAGATGTTTGTGTTTACATAAGAAAAAGTTGGCATTTTTTGAAAATTTTTAAAAATAATATTTTTAAAGCTTTTGAAGTATCTTTTTTCATTAAAACTTTGGTTTAAAGAAAGTTTTGCGTTCAAGCAAAACTTACCTACTTAGCTAAAGATTTGAGTTTTAAGACCATGGCAACCACTTTAGCAATACTTTTATTTTTTAATATCTTATGATTAAACCTAATCTAAACATCAGGTTTTCACCTAAAAAGTTTCTTTTTTTTTTTTTTTTTTTGTTTTTTAAATACCTACCTTTACTTACATAAGGACTTGTGCCCTCTCTCCTCTTTTTTTCCAATAATTTTGCAGTTGATAGTTTTTTGTTTATTGTAAAAAAAAACAAAAAAAAAACAATTTTAAAGGTTTTTAAAAAAACCATGCCAAAACAAAATTACAAAAATAATTAAAAAATAGTTAGCAGATGTAATTATTTCAAGATTATTGTATTTATTTTGTTTAGTAATGTAAATAATTTTTTTATTAGAAATTATACTTGTATGATAAAATTATTTGTAATGATTCTTTCATAGCTTCTGTACTCATTTTGCCTTAAACTCTAATATAAATATTTTTTTCAATGATTAGCTTATATCAAATTGCAATAAAGTACTCATAAAATTTTGTAGCAGTTTGTAGCAATTGTAATTAAACCTGTCATTTTGAAAAGGACACAAGTCCAAAACTTTTAACAGTTAGTTTATAAATTTAAATTAAAAATTTCTGTATTAAAAATTACATAAGTTATATACATTCTTTATTTATCTACTTCTATGTTTAGTTTCTTTACCAGTGTAGACATTATTTTAATTAATCAGTGTTAACAAATTTTAACTTGTGCCCTTTTCGAAATGACAGGTTCAATTATGGAATCAATTAAATTAAAATTGCATTTTTGTTTGCTTTGTTTTTTTCAGCCCATTTATTAAAAGCACTAATTGTCAAAACTTGAAAAGAGCCATTGCACGTCTCTTACACAAAGGCTCAAATATGTAATTTAGAAATATAACATTTAATTTAGAATTGACATTATGTAATTGGGAAACAAAACATTTAATTAAGATATCATAATATATAATTGAAAATACATAAATTGTAATGCACAATGTAAGCTTATAGGTTGTTATAAAATATTTTTACATGAATTTATCTAAGTTAATATGATCAAATTAACCATTTGTATGCACCAGTAATAATAATGGAATTGAAAGATTGTTGTGTTATATGCCAATTCTATGACCCAAAAGTCTGTTATGAGGTTAAATTTGCATCAGCATTAGTTTCACCAAATTAGTTTACACCCGCATCTGGAACAACCAGATCCTACTAGTCCAATTTTTCAACATGAATTACATATAAACAAACAAGAAAATTGACAGAAGAAGAGTTGTTGAATGTGCTGAGTGAAATCACAATTGGGTGACTCTGGTGTCAAATATAATTGGATTTGCAGCAGAAATTCATGTTTCATCATAAAAGGCGGTTATAAGCCATAAATATTAACAAAAGAACAAATCAAAGAAACAATAACATGGATTAAAAGTGATTGTCTATTGACATTGGTGGCCATCAAAACAAAGATATTGAGGCAACTTAATATAAGCGTCAACACACCGATTACCTTGAAGACAGATTTTTTTCATTAAAAAAAGTGAAGAAAGAGTTTTCTCAATGAACAGTAATGAAAACAAACCAAAAAATGCTGATTATGTGGAAAATCAACAAATGTATCACAATAGTTGTCAGTCTGGTTGGATCAAACAAATTTTACCTTTTTATGTTGTTGAAAAAAGCAATAATAAAAATAAATCCTATCAAGGGTTTAAACATTCTATCAACAACAAATGGCGTCATGATAGAAACTGAGAGAGGATTATTTAAAGCAGATTCTTGGCTGTTGGCTATTTTTCACTAGTGGGTTATATCTGGGAATTGTTTAAAAGATTTGGTTTTCCTAGTAGACAATGCTCTTTGTCACATTTGTTTGCAATGAGTGTTTAAAAATTCACCAGCTCAGTTGTTATGTTTGGGGCCCTACGGTCTTATTTTAAACCCGGCTTGAACAAAATGGTTCTGGTTCAAAATTAAAAATAAAGTTAAAAATTTAGTTTATATCCTTTATTAGATGCTGAGATAGTGAAACAACGAATGTAATATTTAAAAAGAATTTTTTAAATGTTGCATTTAGAAAATTCTTTCTAAATATTATATTGGTTAAAAAAAAAAAAAGAGAGGTGATGGTGTACATGCTGTATAGTACGACCCCACATTATGCGATGGTTTTAAATATGGAAGATGTCCAAGTTGGTGTTTAACTTAACATTGCAGTGATTTTTAATGACATTGTTTAAATTTAATTCAATGTAAAATCATATTTTTTGTAAAATATTGTTTATATTTTATTTATTATTCATCTGAATAACTGTAGACATCCGATCAGATTTTTCCAGTTACTGACACATTGTAAAATGTTTTTTTCATGAGATTTTTATTTTATTTATTAAAAACTCATTTAGCCAGAGGTGGATCCAGCTAAGTCTAAAATTACAAAATAAATTAAAACTACAAAAATCAGAAATACAAAGAACTTTGTTCTGAGTATATTGATATTATAAGCCTTTCTTAATTACAAGCTTTGTGTTCTCAATTATATCTTAAGTTTCTAAATTTCAACTTTCATGTTCTTAATTAGATCTTATGTTTCTAAATTACAACTTTCATGTTCTTAATTACATCTTATGTTTCTAAATTACAACTTTCATGTTCTTAATTACATCTTATGTTTCTAAATTACAACTTTCATGTTCTTAATTACATCTTAAAACAGTGTAGATGACCGTTGTTTTATAAAAATCATTGATAAAAATTACTATTTGTTTTTGCTAATTGTTTTTTTTATAACTTGATTGAAAAACTGTGCTAATGATAATAATTGTTTATTTTAATCATGATAATGCAATGACTTCACAAATGGTGGAAAAATTTTATAAAAAAAAAATTCAATGAAAAACCATAAAGTGAAACTAATGATGTGTAAAAAAAAATGAAGATATAGTTTACATCTTATATAAAACAAGTCAACGAAATGAATTAAAAGTATCAATAGAAATAGTATCAATATATATATATATATATTTTAGATGCTTTTTCAAAATATTTTTGTCTAAAATATTTTAGAATTTATGAATATTTAATATTTTCAAAATACATTCTGGTTGTTTGTAAAAAATTTTGTTGAAGAATTTTTTTTTTTAACTGGCTAATCTTGACCAGTAAGAACTCATTTTGGGAGGTCAAAACTGCAGTTTTGATAGTTTAAGACAGTCATTGATTGTTGACCTCCCTTTATTTTGTGTGCTGAGTTTATATACTAGAACTATACTTGAGGTACTACAAATCTTTAAAGAAAAAAGAAAAGGAAAAAAAAACATTTTTTTCCATTGTTAAATAACAGTTTTGTTATTTTTTTAGTTTATTTTCATAAAACTTTTTATGCAAATAAATCACATTTAAAAAAAAAAACCTTGCAGTTTTTTTTTATTATGGAGTTAGTTACATATAGAATCATAGCAAAAAATTTTAGGATAATATTTTTTAGGCATCTTAAGGTATTTTTATTTTAAACATGGCGTCAAGAAACTTATGATAAGAGTTGCATTATTTTGAAATAGAGTTTTCATATAGAAGCTTTGATTTTATGGTGTTTTAACCATAAAATAATAAAGTTTTTGAGTTCTTAATTCAAATTTAAGAACAGATTTTCATCACCTTGAATAAATATTACATGAGTTGAAATTATTAACATCAAAAATTATCAATATCTGAGATAGCATGATGTCAATAAAATTTTTTTGGTGAATTTACATGAAACTACTCTACTGCACATTTTTTGGTCTTAAAACTTTAAACTAATAAGTTCAACTCTCTAATTCTAGTCATACAATAAACATTCTTGTTAGTTAACTTTCTTAATTATTTTTTTTTACTTTATTTAAATATTTTTTTGTTTTCTTTTATTCAAAGGCATTTATCAAACTTAAAGCATATATATGGGTACCAACTTCTTGTTAATTTACTTGGACATAAGGGAGGTGAAGCTATTCTTAGTAATTCGTATAAAGACCATCTTAAAGATTCATCTCACAGTTTTGACACGCATATGATCGTGTTTGATTACCACTCGCATTGTGGTGGAGGTAAGACAGAAAACATAAAAATACTAATGGAGAAAGCTAAGCCATCTATGGATAATTTTCAGTTTTTTACTTTGTTGGATGATAAGCTAGTAAGGTATGATTGTTGTAAGGCATGTATAGACTAATTTTTATATAATTTTTTATCTTTGTTTTTCTATTTTTGTTGTTTTGTTTTATAGCTCACAGGTTGGAACTATCAGAACTAACTGTATTGATTGTTTAGACCGAACAAATGCAGTGCAAACAGAGATAGGATTAAATGTATTTTATTTTATTCTTGCATTCTAGAATATGTGTGAGTATATACATATATGTGTATATATATATATATCTATATATGTATATATATATATATATATATATATATACATATATATATATATATATATATATATATATATATATATATATATATATATATATATATATATATATGTTTTTTTTTTTTTTTAATTTCACCTTCCCAAGGCCATGAAGGCCACAGTTGTCCAGTTGAGGAGGTTACTTTAGTTGCGGTTATAACCCTCTCTCAACTCCATAACTCTGAAACACAAACCTTGGCAAACAAGGCGGCTGCAAGGAGAAACAAGTGGAGCGCCATACTACCAGAGATGTTGTGGGGATCAAACTTAAAACTTCTCGCTTATGTAGCAAGTGCTCAACTATTACATCACTACTGTATCATAGTTACATTGACTAAGGACTTGATTTGTGGCAGCAATCTTTTTTTTTTCTCTCTAAAAAGCAAAGAATATTAGAAGAAGAAAAAATCGCCAAATGTCTATCTATATATGTTATACTAGATTATTTTACAATGGAATTTTCTGTTATTTTGTCATTTAGAATGTTGTTTTTATATAACAATCCATATTTTTTTCTGCAGTTTTTGTGTTACTGTATCTAACTTTTAATGTATTTGTTAGTGGATAATTATATATTTTAATGGAATTACTTTTGCTATATAGGAGTTTGAACCAAATTATGTTTCCAGTTCTAATTGTTCTTTTTGCACTTTTTTTATTACATTATTTTTTAAAAACAAATTTATGACAAATTTATCTTTTAAATTATTTTTAAAAATTTAAGTCATAATCACAGGTTTTTGAAACCATTCAGGTTAAAAATATAAACATTAATACATCCTCCTTTTTTTTTTTTAGTTCAAATTTTATATTTTATTTTATAAAAATATATTCATGTATATTTATACATAAAAATCATTATGATCAACATAATCATCATTATTCTTATCATTTTCATCATCATCATCATCATCATCATCATCATCATCATCATCATCATCATCATCATCATCATCATCATTTTCATCATCATCATCACTGAGCTCTAGGCTTTTGTGCTGTTTCTCTAATAAAAACAACTTTGAGCATCTTCTTTCCTTAACTAAAGCTCATTCATACCATATGTACTTCTAACTCATTCATACCATATGTACCTCTGTTGCTACCTTTCTACATGCTGATAACCAAACCACTTTAATCTTTTCTGACAAAAGTTGTTTGATACAAGGTTCTTTGTCTAAGATTATGTCTTAGATTGCTTTTCTTGTCTTGTTGAGTCAAACCACACATCTAATCATCATCTTCTCTTTCGGGTAATTAAACTACACTATATAAATACTTAAGTTTATAAAAATATGTAAGGATATTGCATGCCACCTTTTAAATAAATAGCAAACATGTTTATATCGATATATCTCCATATAATATATGCATAAATGCGCCATTTACCTAATTTCATTGGTAGGTTTGGGGTCAAATATATTTGATTAAATACAAATACATATACAATATGAGTAAGTTATTTGCAAAGAATCTTTTCTTTAATTTGACTCTTTAATTTAATGGCCATACTCTTTCTGCCAATCCAACAGTGGGTTAAACAGGTTAACCCACTTTTAGACATCCAAATCATTCAGACTTCCGATGCTAAAGTCAAATCTCAATTAAACTCTTCTATGGCTTGTGGTTCGGACAACATTTCCATCATAGTCTTACAAAAGTGTTCAGAATTATCTTCAATTCTTGCTAAACTATTAACAAGTGCTAAATAAGTGGTTTCAATTTTGAAAAACTCAAAAAAAAAAACACTGACCTCTTTAACTATCCTCCAATTAGTTTTCTCTCTATAAAAAAACCACAAAGCCACAATTTACAAATATGATAAATGTAACCTTTGAGATTACAGTAAAATATTATTTTGGAGTTTACAATATAACTGTTTGCTATGATGGTACATAGCAGAAGCAAGGGGATCAATGGTCTGCTCAACAGGTTTTTATTGAAAATGGTCTCTATTCTCAGTTTCTTTAGATAAAAGTTTTGAGACTATCTTTTTAACTGCAGTATTTAAGTCAATCCTCTGATAATTTCGATTAACTGCAAGATTCTATCTGTATTTTTTCTTATCTACAATAACAATCTCTTGGACAATTTTACATCTATTTGCTGACAACTCAACTTTATACACTTGTCTTGACAAAAATTCTAAATTGCTTTGATTTGATTTGGTTGCTTAGAACAAGCAGGCAACCTTTAATCTGATCTCTCTTCTATAACAGCTCGGGACTTGCAGTGGCTTGTAGATTTTAATTCCAAAAAATACTCAGTTATTTAGTGCAAACAACTATATCAATATTGTTGGCATATCAAAGGGTTGATATATGTCAACAATATTGTAAGGGTTGTTATTCATCATCCTATATTAACATATAACAACCCTCTCACTCTCAGACAAGGTTTTTTTTAAACTTTAAATGTAGTTGACTATATATAGATATTTAGACTATATTTAGACAAGCTTGAGTTTATCTCCCATTGGCCTTAGGTTGCATTTTTTTTTATTTTCTACAAATGCTATCATGGTTGCTGCTTAAGCAAGCTACCATCTGTAGTTGGATCAACTAAAACTCATTTTCACTTTGTCATTAGCTTGTCAATAGCAAAGTGGCATCATTTTACTGTATTTGCCCCTTCATGATATAAAATTTTTATTCATCTAGTATTTTTCCTTGCTCATCAACAAAACCTCAAAACTCTCATTTTTATGTTTTCTTACGTTTTCTTACTTCAGTTAATCATTTCCTTGTTCTTTAATCCTATTCTTTATTTTCTGGTAAAGAATAGAGTTTTAAAGAGGTTTTCAGCTAAATTAATATTAATAAACTCAAGTGATTAAGTTTATTGAGCGATTGAAATTGGCAAATTAATCTCAAATGTCAATTGTCTGATGATTTCTTATATTTTAAACTATCAGTAAAGCTATCAGTAAGGCTGTAGAGACTTCCTGGTCATCACCAAGTTAAACAGTTTAGAAAAATGAAGCAAGAGATGAAAACTACTATTATGCTATTTATTAGATTTATTTATTAAGCATTCAATTATCTTAAAGATAAATTATAAATTTAAATTAATTTAAAGACAAATTATAAATGTTGTTCTATCACAAAGTTAGTATTTTAGAGAACATCCATTTTAATATATTGTTTTACAATTTGGGAGCAAGCTAAAAGTTGGAGGTGTAGAAGAATGCTTAGTTTAGGTTTTTATGAACAAAAATGAATTAAATGCTCTGTTGATGGAAAACGGTGGCTTGCAGGAATTTAAATATCATGAAAACAATATAAAAAAGTATAGTTTTCAAAAATTCGGTTTTCTAATATTTAGGTCATCTATATCTAGATAGTACCTACCGAAATCTAAATCCTAAATCTATCTATGTACTGAAACCCTTGCAGATGGCTGTAAATTATTTTAGTTTGTTCTACAAATAATATAAATGTTCTTAAAGAACAAAGAAATAATTGGTAATAACACTTATCTAATTTTTTATATTTTATCTTAATTTATTTAAAGCTTCTTAAGAAACAACTAGAAAGCATTGGTATCAATGACCTTCAATCACAAACAAAGTTTCATGAAGCTATGAAAGTTATGTGGGAAGTAAATGGTGATCACATAAGTCGGATGTATACAGGAACTGGTGCTATGGAGGCTGGAACAAAAGGAACTGTAAGCAAATTTAAATTACAAAAAAAGCGTATACAATAAAATTATTTATTTAAAAAGTTTAAAAGGCTTCTTGTTGTTTTTTGTTTTGTTTTTAAAATTGTTGTTCTAACCATTTCTCAACCTTTTAACTCTGTTACAAATTTATTTTTTGAAAATAATGTTTAAACACACAAAAAAATCTCTCAATAAGGTTGAGCATATCTCAATAAGAATGATAATATCTCAATAAAGTTGAAATTATCTTAATAAGGTTGAAAATATCTCAAAATTATTGTAATTCACCCCAAGAAATAAAAGGAAAAAAAATTAATTTATATATGAATTTTTTTTTGAACCAAATGTTGGTATTAGTTTTTTTTCCAAAAGCATTATAAGATTTGATTTATGCAATCATGCATAGTTTATTAGTGATGCAATCATTCTACAATACAACCAGCAAGCTCAAGACATATCTAATACATAATATTTTTGATTTCTTTATTTTTATGTTTATTTGTTTTTTTATTTTTATATCTTTACTAATAGTTATTTTGGGTTATTTCAAAAATGTTTTTGACTACCGAAATATATTTATATTATTATATATTTATATCAAATATAGAAATATTTGTATTATTATTCTCAGAAGTTATTGTTGATCTCTAATATAATTTACCGGTATTGATTAAAAAGTTTACAATTAATTTTAATGACTTTAAAATTTTGTGTTTCAGCAGTTAATTAATTTTAAAGTCAATAATTGTAATATTTTATTAATTTTTTTTAACAAGAAATACCCATAAAAAACTGTTTAAAATTAAACAAATTATTTACTACTTATTGCTAAACAGATCGGAAGTAAACTTCATGATGGAGCAATATCAGTCAAGCGTACTCTTAAAAATAACTTTTTTGATGGAAGCAAACAAGAAGCCATAGATATTTTATTACTTGGAAATTCATTTATTGGATCAGTTGGGGAACGAGCAAGAGCCTTGTTAGGAAAATCTTTTTTATATGGTATGTCTGTCTTTGCATTTAAGAATTTTGGCGGGGTGGCTAGTTTGTAGTATACTTATTATTTTTTAGATTTTTTTAAAATTATTTTTATTATAACGGGTGTTCAATGAAAATCTGTGAAAAGTTTGACGGATAAAAAATTATAAAACAATAAGTTTTATTGAGTTCTGATATTATCGATTTTGGTACAAACTTAATACTTTTTTATTTATATTAATTGCATTTTCTAAAAAGTTGCACCTCCAAATTATCTTTTAATACCATAATGGAGTTTTCCAAAGGCAAGCTGCTTGCAAATTTGAATGTAGCACAGTCCTTATGCATTTCTGATAAAGTGTTATTAAAAGTAAACTTTGTTCTCAGCAACAACTTACATTTTATCAAAATCGTTACATGTAACATTTTATCAGGAAATGACTAGTACCTTTTAAAGAATATAATTATGATAAACAATACTTATTTTTGCAGCATCTGACTTTATCGCATTATCCTAAAGCAGTTGTGTCATTGTTTAAAAAGAATTCTATAAATTATCTTGCCAAATTTGCATAGTCAAGTCATCTCTAAATTTAGAAAATCAAAAATAATAAACTGATAGAAGAAATTTATTATTAAAACTTATAAAGGAATAAATACATTTCTTTCTTTTTTTCAGCACCACCAAAAATTTTACGTGGTATTTGTTTGCGACACAAACAGTTTACAAAAATACACAATATGAGAGTAACTGTTAGTACTTGGAATGTTAACGGTGGTAAGCACTTTCGTAGCATTGCATACAAGCATCAATCAATGCATGATTGGTTATTAGATTATTACAAACTTGCTAAAGAAGGCATTTTGGATAATACTGAAACTTTCGAGAAAGTAACAGATGTTTATGCAATTGGTTTTGAAGAACTTGTTGATTTAAACACAGGAAACATTATTTCAACAAGGTTTAAATTTATATGTCTTATACGTATTATATTTCTTAAATTAATTGATATAACATTTTTTTAAATGCATTTTTTATCATAAAAATTCAAACTTTGTTATGAATATAAAATGCATAATATATAAGCTTAATGGAATATGAAACAACATAAAGTTCTTTTTATTTTATATTGCAGCTTTAGGGACATTAGTTTACTTTAAAAAAACTTTTTTTTTTTTTTTCAATATTTAATAGAATTGTTACAATTTGTTAAAAATGTTTTTAAATATTTGGTTAAACTTTATGTATTATTTTTATTTTATTTTATTTATTATTTCTATTTTTATTTTCTATTCATGTCAATATAATAGTTTAGATTTTTTTTTATTTTAGTTCGAGTCAAAAAAAGGAATGGGGTGCAAAGTTGCAAGAAGTTATTTCACGCAATCATCCGTATGTTTTAATTTCTGCTGAACAGCTTGTTGGAGTTTGTTTGTTTGTGTTTGTCCGCCTTCAACATGTTCCTTATATAAGGTAACTTGATTCATCAACTATATTGAAACATTTTTTTATTTTTATTTGAATTTAAAACTTTAAGTCTTGAAAATTCAATTATTTGTATTAAAAATTAAATTCTGCTTAAACTTAAAAGTTTTATATATCCCTGACTTCTATTTATTTTATAACTAATTATTAATAATAACTTATAAAACCAGCTTAAAACCAATAACAGAATAAAAATAAATGAAATCGTATTCAAAATTCAGTGAAACTCATAACTGCGCTCTCCATCAATAAATTAGTGGGTTTTATCAAGAATGTAGTAGGGTTTAATCTAACGTCCAACTTTTACAGTTAGTTTTCTAACACTTTTATATGCTGAGGTGAAAGGCTTTAAAAGACATAACAGTGGGAATCGCCTGCATCAGCAAAATGCATATTAGTGAATCAAATTAGTTTTTATCTTAAACTGACACTCGTCTGAATTAATATTAAAGTTCAATAATTATTTTAATATTACCTATCATGGTATATATTATATATATATATATATATATATATATATATATATATATATATATATATATATATATATATATATATATATATATATATATATATATATATATATATATATATATAAAATAAATATTTCCTCTGTCTTACCAAGTTTTAATCTTAACTGAAAACTTACAGTGATGTAGTGATTGACCAAAATTCTGTTTTGGTATCGTTTTCTGCCGAAATTTTAATTTGAACCAATACCTAAATTTTGCTTTTGCTACTTTTTATAATTTCCGTAAAAAAGCAAAATTTCAGTTTAAAAAAAAAACAAAAAAGTTTGTAAGATTTTAAATTTTTATCTAATTTAGAAAATCAGTTATTTTTGAGATTTTTCACAAAATATTTTTAGAATATTTACGAAAATTTTAAGAGTTTTTACAAAAATTTTGAGAATTTTCACAAAATACCTCAAAAAAACCTTGATTTGCAAAAAAAAATTTCCAGTAACTTTTGCTATTAACTTATATCGCCAACTTATGTATTAAGTCTCAATTTTTAATACGTGTGTAATCAATTCTAACATTATATCGAGTTTAAAAAAACAAGAAACTTAAAATTACATTTTTTAAAAATTTTTTTTAATAAAATTAATTTTAACTAGCTGTAATGTCGGTATCAGTTTCAGTCAAATATTTACCCCAAATTTCGGTTTATTTTGGTTTCTGTATTTTTTCTGTTTTGGTTGATCACTACAGCGAGGGAAAAGTATTTTTAAATGGTTTAAAAGGAAAAGTATTTCTAATGGTTTTAAAATAGTTGTACTTTAAAATATTAAATTTATTTTTATAAGAAAATGATAAAAAGCTAAATTTTCCACTAATTATTTTTATGCACGATGTATTACATGTTGTCTTTCATAAAAATGTATTACATATTGTCTTCCTTGCAGAGATGTTGCTGTGAGTGTTGTTAAGACTGGACTAAAGGGAAATGCAGGGAATAAAGGTGCTGTTGCAGTTAGAATGTTGTTTCATTCTACATCTCTGTGTTTTGTTTGTGGGCATTTTGCAGCTGGTCAATCTAATGCTTTAGAAAGAAATAACAACTATCATGATATATCTAGACGGTTGGCTTTTCCAATGGTATTTTATTTTTCTTTGTCTTTTTAATATTTTATTATACTGTTTTATCATCAAAATCATTTATGTTAGTAACCAATAAACTATATTTGAGTCATAACTTATGTAAGTTTAAGTTTAAAAACAATGGGTTCTTTTGATTTCTTATTTTTCTTGTTGAGAAAATGCTTAAAATTTGTCCCTCTACTGGAACTTTTCACAAAATATTTCAGAGAATTTTTACTTTGCTACCAAATAATTACAAATTAAAATAAAAATTCTGTAAGTTGATAAAAACATGAGCTACTATCTTTGCAAATGTGCATGAGTTTCTGAAAAAAGAAGCAAAGGCTCATTATGTTTTGCTAAAACTTGTTCTTACTTTATAACTTTTCTAAACATTATTTAATAAATTGTTTATAATCAATTGAGATTTTTATTTAAATAATTATGAGGTTAACTTTTTATCAGAAATTCAGCATAATTCTAGCAATCTTCTAGACATAGATTTAACAGTGTTAAACCAAGCTATGCTATGTTGTTCAAATAAGCACAAGATCTCACCATATATTTTTCAAGGATTTTTTATTGGGAATTTTTGTGATATTTTGGAATCATGTTTCTGTTTCCAAAATTTTGTGTTTTAGGCAACAATGTGTTTGATTCAACACATTTGACAAAATTAAAATAAGTAAAATTGTAATTGATTTTGGCAACTTTTTGCATTTACATTATCAAAATTTATTTACCTAAATATATGTTCATTCAGGTAAATAAATTTTTTTATAAATAATCCTTTTTTACTCGCTTTTTTTGTTTTTAAAATAAGCTAACAAAATAGGACATAAAAAGAAACTTAAATAGAAAAAAATTAATAGAAATTAATTTGAATAATTTGTGTACTTTATTTATTTTTGTTTCTTAAGATTGGTTGTTATTTTCAGCAACAAAATTAGACAAAAATTAGCAAAAAAAAAAAAAAAAAAAAAAAACAGCTTAAAGCTTACATTAAAAAAAAAAAAAATTTTCCTTCATTTAACTTTTTTTTTAAAGAGGAAAGCGAAAATATAAATTGCTATGTATTTGTAAAATATATCTGTATAATTTTAATGTAACAAGTATTTATTGTCCCTTAATGAAAACATCTATGTAATAAATGTGTATACTTTTATGTATAACTTTTCATATTATATAGTTATACTTATCTCCTCCTAATTGTACGCATGTTTAGCTTATTTGGATAAGGCATAGACTTTTTAAATGAAAAGTTCGTGGTTCAAGGCTAACCTGAATTTGAATATTTTTTTTTTTTTTTTACACACCTAGAGCCAAATGTTAAAAAGAAACATGTCTTCCTTAAAATATTAGGGCTAAAAAATGTACAGGAAAGTGAAGGTAATATGAAACAATTAAGGCTATGTGTAGATTGCATGGCCTAATTGAAGCTTAAAAACTATGTATATATGTGTGTGTGGCTTACTTATAAAATATACTGAAAGGCTTAAATGGTATAAGAAATCTGAATGTGATGAGATATCATTCAGAAACATACAACAAAAAGATTTTTTATATACAATTAAGAAAAGATAAATGGTTACAAAGCAAACATATGACCAGCGGTATTTAAAAGAAAAACAAAAAAATGCAGACAGTTGTGGGAATCGAACCACAGACATGTCTATGAAGATAACTCCTTATCTGAATGAGCTAAACGTGCGCATACTAAGGACAAAATAAATATACTTATATAATACACAAATTTATATATAAAAGAGTATGCATGCATTACACAGATGTTTTCATATAAGGACAATATATACTTGTCACATTGAAATTATACAAATGTATTTTACAAACAGATGGCAATTTATATTTTTGCTTTCTTCTTTTAAAAAAAAAAACATATAAAATATAGGAAAATCATTCTTTTTAATGTTTAAAACTTATTTTTATTTCCTATTTTGCTAGTTTTGCTTTCTTCGTTCTTAAAACTTTTTTCAGCAACACATATAATAAAACTTGCAAACAGCTGTGACCACTGCATGCGTTTCCTGGGAAGATTCATTTAACCTATTGAGAATTAAAATCAATTTAGAAAAAAATATTTTTATTTTACATTTTTTTAGATAGGACTTATACCTATTTTACCTCATAGTATACCCATTTTACCCCAGGTGGTTACCCCAGGGTGCGAAATAAAGTGGGTTTACTATGCGGTAAATGAGTAAAAAGTTCTGATGGTAAAACTTAAACATTTTAAATAATAATAATTCTAAGCAACTTAACTTTTCTAAAATTTTATTCTAACTTATACAAAATTACACTTTTTGTGATCAAAATGTGTATGGAAAGTGAACATTTATACTACAGTTATGTATATTTGAGTGAGGATGATTTACAAATATCATTTAGTCTTATGCTTCCTGGATTAAACAAGTTGCACAAATCAATCTTGCTAAGGAAATTTGTATTGTTTATGATTATTGCAGGAAAGCTGTGGCAATTTCTTCAAGGTGTTGTTATCCACAATTTCATCAATGTTATCTCAGGAAAAACAGTATTGCCCTACTGGTGACTTTGTCAGAAGCTTCACAGTGTATAAGTTTTGGCCTGGGGTTTCAACACATTAAGTCCATACAACTCATGGTTTATTTTTTTACCAGCATACTTAATCAGCACCGGATCCTCAACAATTACGTTGAAGTTATCTTTTTCTTCAGGGACTTTCTCAATCTCTTCAATCATTATTTCTTTTGTTTGTCGGTTATGCCTACTAGTTTGGCTTGCATTTTTGAAACCTGCTATTTTACATTTCTTTGCCAATCTGCCTGACTCTTCATTAAACAACCTGGTTTCATCATCCTTTGTTGTTATAAATTCTCCAACCTTTGCTTGCACTCTTTCTCTTCTAGCATTGCTAATTGCATCCACATTATTTATATATATAACTTGGAGAAACTGTTTTCAAAATTACCCGCTGCAACACTTTGAAGGAAGATGCAGTAGATGTGTTACTGTTAGTTTAAAGAGTTTCTGAAAATGAAACACCTGGTTGAACTTGCAGCATAGATCTGTGTGCTTCTGACTCCATAACATCTGCAGCTGAATCTCTGGCTATTGATTGCTTTCCACTGGCTTGACAGTTGGAACAATGTCAAACTGCTTTTTTGTTCAATGGATAGAGCCCTCTACCTCTTAATGCACTTACTGCATTTTTCTCTGTTAATTGGTCATAGAGTTGCTTTACAAGGCAAGAAAAACCTCTTTGCCTGCTATCTATAGATGGCTCTCTCTAAATTATCTCCTCAGAATGGGTAAAAGATTACTATATCTGTCCAACAACATCTGTGAAGTAGTCCAAGATCATATTTACTTTTCTTTTCAAGTCCAATAACATCTGGAGGAATTTTCTCCTGATGTAGTTACATCCGAAAAAATTTCTATATGTAACTACAACTGGTTAAAATAATGCGTTATTAGTAATTCATTTTAGAAATAACTTCATGTTAAAAATCCACATATATAGTTGCACAGATGTTATTACACTTTTATTATTTAAAAGATGTAACTACATCTGTAATATTCATTTAATTTTTGCACAGATGTTATCAGACACCAATGAAATTTCAGATGTTGTTGAACAAATGTTATTATACCTCATTATATTTACAGATGTTGTTGGACAGATGTTATTAGACATGGCAAAAACTGATGTTGTTACCCTGACCCCTCAGAATGTATTTCCATGCAAGTTTTAATGGTTTAAAGACCCCAATGTTCAGAGACTGAAGAGCATGATTTGTGTTTGGTAGCAAGCATAGTATTGAGATTTTGTTTGTCATTACAGACTTCACTGTTTCATAAGCTAGATAACTGCCATGGCCATCATAAAAGAGCAGCACAGGTTTCTCAATATGTTCAATGCTTTTAGTGAAATGTTTGACTCAAAAACTGTGTCATCCATCCTGATTTTGTTGTTGCATATCAAATACCTGGAGGTCAATGACTGATACAGATGTAGCCCTTTGTAAACGGAGACAGATACACAGAAAAGAACACTGTAACTTGCTTTTCCTCCACATGCTGATTTCAGATAAGCAGTGTATGATGAAACTAGCATAAACATAAACTAGGGTTTGTTTGAAAATCATTTAATAAACATATTTTCATATATTTGAAAAAAGGCATTGACAACACTTTCTGTCAGCCCTTCTGCCCTTGCTTTGGTTAAGAGTCCAGGCTTTTGTTTTAAAAGTTTCTCTTTCCATCTCTTTTCAAACCCAATAATCCAGTCTTCATTAGGACAGTTTTCTTTGAAAGAATTTAGTCTTCCTGTTTCTTGAATAAAAAACTAAACCATTCATATCAATTAATAATGTTTCCATGGAAATCCACTATCAGCTAAATAATACAGTGTGCAAACAATTAAACATTCCTCATCAGCAGTAAGAATGGGGAGTGATTTTTTCCCTTGAAACTTTGTAAACTGAACTTCGTTGTTCAAGTCTTGCATTTTCCAAGTCCTCATTTGTATAGTTGGGTTGTGTTTTGTAGATATAATTCCTTTGTATTTTAAACCAAATTAGTAACAGTTAAGCACTGTTGCAGGTCTGCAAAAAAACAGAACAAATAAATTAATGTCCATTCAGGTCTGCATTTAATTTATATTACATAATAATAAATGCTGCTAGATATCACTGTGACTGTTAAATAAAAATGTAAATAAAATCCACAAATATATCTAATAAGTCTATTTTTTTTTGAAGACTGGGACACTAATAAGCTAAAGTTCATATGATAGTCCTAAATGAACACACAATTGCAATAAAAAATGAATCTATTTTATAAGACTAGGGTACTAAAAAGCTAAAGTTTAGATAATTTAAAAAAAGGCAAAAATATGCATCAAAGGAATAAACCAAGCTGTCAAGCCCAAGAGTAATGCGGTAGTGGTGTAGTGGTAGAGTGCTCGCTTCATAAACGAGTGGTTCCGAGTTCGATCCCCACCACGTCCCTGGTAGTAC